GTACAATAAATAGTATAAATTGAAGGGGGAGGGGGGGGGGAGGGGTAGGTATGATAAAGTCTACATATACTGCTGTCACGCACCAAACCTGTGGGATGAAGTCCGCTAAAAACTGGCTATGCTCGACATTCCCTAATTAGTAGGTGTCAGACATTCCTAAAAGAATGGGATTACTAACTCAATCCAGAGAGAGGCTTCTCGACTTAACTTCTGAAGTAAGCCTTAAAGTCGACTTGTGTTTCACTGTTCAAAAGGGATCGCGCGATGTTCCGGTCGTTCTGATCTTTTGAATATTTTCTGCCATCTATGCTATTCAATGAGCGTTTATGGCACCTAAGGTGTGCAGCAATACTGAGGTATACTTCAGCCCTTAAGGAGGGGCTGTCACAACGCGTGATGGTGTGAAGGCTTCTTCGGACCTCCTCCTCGCTTCGTGAACCGAGTAGTGAATGATTAATCAGATCGTAGGTGGCTTCATCATCTACTCATTCGATGAGACTTTTGTTGCTCATTCAAGCAACTAGNCACTGTTCAAAAGGGATCGCGCGATGTTCCGGTCGTTCTGATCTTTTGAATATTTGCTGCCATCTATGCTATTCAATGCGTGTTTACGGCATCTAAGGTGTGCAGCAATACTGAGGTATACTTCAGCCCTTAAGGAGGGGGCTGTCACAACGCATGATGACGTGAAGGCTTCTTCGGACTTCCTCCTCGCTTCGTGAACCGAGTAGTGAATGATTAATCAGATCGTAGGTGGCTCTCATCATCTACTCATTCGATGAGACTTTTGTTGCTCATTCAAGCAATTAGTTAGGTTTGGTTGAGAGTCAGCAATTAGGAGCCGCTCATCTTAAGCTTTACTTTATTTACTATTTCGTTTTGGCTTCTTTGGCAGGTGTTCATTAAGCTAACTGTAATGAATTGAAGACAGAGAACCATCTGGAAAAAGTAAGCAAACACATCATGAAGGCAAATTAACTCAGACAGTTCAAAAGTGGCTCGTTTTGCCTCTCCACCAGACAAACCACATCCACCAACCTCCCTAAGGCTCACTATTAGTGGTTTAGGCTTAGTGGAAAAGGGAATGAGTGAAGATCTAAATACTTGTTGTTCAAATCGGGGACAGTGATGGATATAAAATTACCGTATTGATAAAGGTCAATGCTGTGAATCTTTAAAATTCTATCAACCAAATATCGTAATGTCGTCGGAATCATCCTTGATAGTAAACTTGTAACATATAAATTTATTTTTATATGCGCACCTAACTATACTGAAAATTCTGGTGGGATCGTCTCCGTATCATAACTACTCAATGGTTTCTGTTAAGAGTTTTCATCCTTGCTTCATAGGTTATCCGAATGAGCATGTCTCAGTGAAGTTCACGCATTTCAATCTGTACGTGCCGGAAAGTAAGAACTTGACAAGAAGGTAGGAAATTTCGAATGTTGAAAAATTCAATTTTATTCTTTCTCTCAGCCCCATGAATAACTCACTCTGGAGAGTATTGTTCAGTTGTGCTAGTATGGCTTGAAAACAGTCCTGACTTGTTGATTACTTATACAGCTTTTTAAGGTGCGCCGACGTCGACCATCTCACAGCGGATGTACGAGTTGGAGCTCGTCTATCGCGAATCGATGAGTGGTGCGGGGATCGAACACCACCACAGTTAATGAGCAGTACAAATCTGCTGCAGCTCGAATACACCACGAAGGTATGTCTGGTGGTTCATTGAAAGCGAATTCAACAGAAAGCGACCCCACTCCTTCACCAAGTACGTCGTGCAGGATTATGAGGATAATCGGACAGCTCCTGATCGCCGCGATTTCCCAAATAAGGGGATGTGGTGTTTCGATTAAATATACTTTCTTATGTGTACACCCGGCATGTTTGAGGTTAACCTCAGTCTGAGTGCTACCGTATGCAGTCGAGGGTTGCTCTAAATTAGATACCATCAACTAGGTGACAGCAATAATCTGCTGATAGTCGAAGAACCTCTCGAGAAAACCTAGCTAAAGCTCTGATTGCAGTCTTCACGAGCCCTACGCGAAAGTGCAAAGAACGATATTGGTTTCCGTCTCGACTACAAATTCCATACCGATTGGAATATGCAACACATGCGGGCACGAGGAGATCGAGACAAAGGCAGGCCTTGTTTATTTGTTTTTTGCTGAATCAAAAAGCGGTTCATTTTTTAACAGAAGATTGATTATTGTTTTGATTTCCATCTGTATCTTCACCATGTTTGAAATGAGGGTTCAGGTATATTGTTTACGGCTGCGGCATCTAACTAAGATCTAGGAACGGTCCGACTTCAATAAGTACGCCGTCGAAAAATCAACGTATAGATAGGGTCAGATTTATGAGCACTGTCGGGTTACTTCGGGATCGAAATGGGAAGTTCCACATCCGCAGTTTTTCTATAGGACGATTGCGAAAAAATCGTTAAAGTGTGTTGCTGTTTACTGCAATGTATTCCTAAAGCATACATTATCTACAACCAAAGTGCCTTTTTGTATCGGTGCCACAGTAACAGTTTTTGGCGTATTCTCAAACTCACTGCTTGGATATTATCATGGGTAGGGTAGTCATAACTACCCTCATAATCTCCTTACCCTCATAACAACTCTCCCCCACTTAACAAATATGTACATTGGTCTTTGCTTTCGGAAAACTCACTTTTATTGCTTGAAAAAGAAAAATGCACTGTAGGTACGCACTCAGTTTCAGCCATTACCATGCCTGACGATGTCATGAAATAATTCTTGAAACCATGATTGACGTGAGGTTAGCAGAAGGAGCAATTTAGAAATGAGAACTACCCATATTTAATACTTAGCAAGCTCGCGTTTTAGGACCCTCCACGAGAAAGCTGGCGTCAATGCGCTGTGTTCTTTGTTAAAGGCACGGTTCACGATTAGAAAATTTACTGAGTTCTTCCTTTAGGAATACTCAGCGCCCCCAAGGGTGGTAGAAGGGACCCTCTCGCTCCCACAATCTCGGCGCTTAGGAAATAGTGGAAGCCCTGTTGCTGCCGTAATTGGCTTTAACACCCCTCGATCAATATCACTTTGGACAAGTGTCGAGGCAATACAGATTGCAATTATTCGTTCTAGGACCATGAGCTACTTTTGCTGTTACTAGGTTTTTTTTCTGTTTACTTATGCTTATAAGTGAACGAATTCCTGCTTACCTTAGTCTGTTATTCGCACCAGGACGCAAACGCACGCAGTGAGACACATTGTATAGATCGTCCAAACGCCCCACTCCTCTTCACTTTTCTGGTCTCATTCTCGTTCAGCCCCTTTTTTAATGGCTATTTTCGATATTGCCTTCCATTTCTCATCATAATCTGGATTACCCGAAGTTATCGTGAACTGTGCCTTTAACGATCCCCCTCCTAGAAGCTAGACAAAAGCCACTTTCATTTTGATTTTGTGACTTACGCTCAACTCTGTGTGTATTCTCTTTCATGTCTCGCGCAAAGCCTTGTCCATAAGCCACCAGCTCAGTTTCGGAGCGATTATGTTGAGCAGAGTCTTTTCCGTCTACCACAATTCGTCTATCAAAGAAACTTTCATGTTGTTCTGATTGTTGTGCTTAACTATCTGTACAAACTGCCCCTCTTTGTTCGATATTGATTTCCGGTGTTGGTGTCTGAGTTGATGTCTATTTTTCTTCCCAATAAGTTCCCACGAACCCATGAAAATTGAATCGTTTTGTAATCATTGCAGGATGCCGATTCATTTTCAACTCGTCTGTACAGTCAAGTGGGAAGCTGTGGTCGGTCAATTACCCAGGTCTCTATCCTCGATCTCTCTACTGCGAGTACATTTTTCATGGCAGTGAAGAGCAGACCGTTCACATTCACTTCGAGTATTTCGACGTTGAAGGCTTCAACCAGTAAGTTTTATATAGTTTCGTAAGGAGTTAGGGTTATAACTACTTACGTTTTGTTGTGTACTCAGATATCGTTTTTTCGCCGTCCCACAGAGGGAAGGGGGTGTAGAAAAGGAACGTTTGTTCATGTCTTCTGCTCGGCAGTAAATTAATAAGGAAATGAGACACGTCAATTTCCTGCTCGTCTGCGCCTACACGCTGAGGAGCACTCTGTCGTTTGAAGAGACCGAAGAGGCATCCCTGAACTTTACTTCAATCTCACACCTATGTCCTTCAGACTTCTTAGACATGTTTTACAAAATCTAAGGTTAGGTGGATGTGGGAATGTGGTAACCAGGTTGTGCCAAGTCTCTCCAGCTCTTCCATGCTCGTATTCGCCTGGTGTGGTCAAGCATTATCCATCACAACTAGCAAACTCCCATGTTACTTTCCTGAATTTGGCATTCGAGACACTATTTCTCAGTCCTTCGTGTGATACTCCTGCGATCCCATCTGCACCTTCAGGTGGGACCTCGTAGTTCGCACGTCCGGTGTAGCAGGAGAGAATTGAATCATATCCGTTCTGGAGTTGATGCCCTATTTCGGAACCGATCACACCATTGGATCCTTAGAAAGGCACGTGGCACTGCGAATTCTCATAGGATGTCATTTTTTACTTGAGCGAAAGTGAAGTCGGTCTACTTCCCTGTTCACTCACGTTCGAGGAGCGTCTTGCCCACATCGACTCACGCTCGATGCTTGGATACAGTCTGCGCATTATTGAATGTTTTCGATACCCAAGTAGCTCGTAGGTTCGATGGGCACTGCGAAGAATGTTCTTTGTGGCATCGATTGGGTCTTAGATTTTCTCACTTTGTCTTCTTTTTTACAACATTGCAAGTTGGGACCATGATGCCTGCAATTCATGACACTCTGCCGGAGTAACGGCTCGAGAACATACAATAACAAGTGTTTCTTGGATTCTCTCTGCTTCCCGAGAAATGAATGCGTCCGACGAGCTGATTGCATTCCTTGATGATGGTGACCACAAAAACTTTACGTGTACTCCGGAAGGAGTAAAGTTACACAAACTTCTCACTAGTTTGGGTCTTGACGCTTCGCTTTTTGATTTCGCTGGCTCCCTGCATATTGAAAAAGGAGTTTCAGTGTGGGAAAGAAGACAATTCGATCTAATGCGAATCTTCAAAGCAAGACTATCATCAGTCATTTGGCTGGAGATGACTTGAAATTTTCATGAGCTTGCCCGCAAGGTAATTCCTAAGACTATCGTGAGTGGATATCCGAAACAGCCTCGCTCGGCTCAACGTGATGGATACAACAGTCTTTCACTCTGTCAACTGCAATCCCCACTCTTACTTCCAACTGTGTCGTTTTCAAAAGCGAGTCGATGAAATTGGTCCTTTGCAAGCTTTGCAATGCGAGTCAACTGGTCTTGCAGTCGTTCCCAAGTATACGCTGTCAGTGACCCCATTTCTTTTGCCTTCGACTGATTGTACCGCATGGCTTTCAGATGCGATGAGACTACACAGAGCGACTTCGTCTTATTTAGCAATTACCAAACACATGATCGCACAAATCGCCGATTTTGTGGTAAGGTAAGAGAGACTGTTTTGCACATTTTCAATAAGTAGGACAGATAAAGGTAATGGAACAATCTTTATGCTCAAGAGCGGAATGTGCGCAATCTCTTGCCTTGCAGGCTGCACCGCGAGGACCAATTCTTTCTGAATCTAACTACTTCAGAATGATTTTTGCAACTAACGACATCTTCGACGCAACCGGATTCTATGCTCACTACCAGTTTATCACTCAACGTCAGTCGAAGAGTAGATACCGTTCGTTTTATAGTCGATCATCCACATTGTTTTTTTCCAGAAAAGGCACAGATCAGTCGGGTGAAGCTAACGACATCATCACCTTCATCAGTGCATCGGATGCCTCTTTTCTTCATTTTAATTGCTTTCCTATTGATAACACTACAATATCATTAGGAACGAAAGTTCTATCGTTCATTCTCAACTATCTGTTCCATTTGTAAATATTCTTGGTTGCCTCATACCTCAAGCTTGTTTATTACATGAAATTGGGGCTCAATGGAAGCACATCAAGACTGGTCTTTTGATCTTCTGGGATAGGACTGACACTTGTAAGTGAACATTGTATGGCTTCGTTATTCGGGTATTATAGAGTATTTTGTTTTGAATTCCGTCACGAATTGATCTCACCATTCTCTTTCAAGAAGATGAGTATCTTTGAACAGTGGGTATTGAGGAAATAAAGCATTTTTGAACTTTGACTTCCACTCTAGCACCAACTCCTCAAATAAACTGAATTCTGGTCCCTACATACATGAACACTTATGTAACAGGATATAGCCGGATCCACGGATCCCTTGATTTCTGGAGCAGGACACTTTCCTTTTTTCCTGTCTCAAAGAAAAAATCATGATTGTGTCAAGCAGGAAGAGTAAGATCAGGAACAGGAGAGCAACTTGCATTATAGTCCCCCATGCAGACAGCGTTCTAGTTGGGCGATAATTGCCAATGCCAATGTCGTTCGCATCTCCCATTTTACACAGCAATACAGTTAGCCAATTTCCACGGCGTGGGCACTTTGTATTACGACAAGTACCACGTGAAGAGCCTTAGGATAAGTGGTTGGAAACTTCGTAGATGTTTTAGATCAATCCTATCGGGACCGTGCGCCGTACGGTACTTCGTCGACCTGATGGCATGTAGAATTTCGGAAGAGAGAACTGGAAGAACGACATAGCCATCCTGCCCAAAGTGGTAGGTAGGCAAGCAAGCGTGGCTGTTGAAGAGATCCGAGTAGAATTCACAAATACCCTCCCTGCTACCCTTCGAGATACAGTACCTGTTCCGTCATTACGACGGGGAAATGATGTCATCACTTTTGAACGGCAAAGCTCGAGCGGGCATTTTATATTCTGTCCCAGTCTCGGCAGCGCCAGCCAATACTGCCGCTCTTCTTTCTTACGGATCTTATTTTGCCACTTCTCTGTAATGCTTCGATAGTGCGGACGCCAGTTGCCGATTGCTTGTAGCTCGAGCGCTGCCACGCTGTTGTGCCATCCGGACAGTGTTCAGAGAATGAATGTTTTTGCGAACTTAGTTTCTCTGCTTTCCTTTCACTATCGTGAAAATGTTTTTTTTTGCTCTTTTGTGGTTTTGCTCTTGATGATGTTGTCAACAACGGTATCCTTTCATGAACACGCGAAAATCAAGAGGATCCTGACGATTTGGGCTTCGCTTTATTAACTTAACAGCTCTCTCCCTACCAGATAAACAGAGTCTAGTTGAGAGGAGAGGATGGTCTATGTCGGTGGGAACTTCGCAGCAACAGCTAAGTGCTTGAGCAAATGATGTCATTTTGATAGAAGAGGATGTAGGCGAGTTCATTATAATCATATCTACCAAGTGTTTGACAAGCCCACTGCGAAAGAAATGTGGGCCGGGAGTTACCATGGATGTGTGGGTTGACATACAAACCTGGAGCTTTTTCACAGAACTCATTCCATTCCATTTCGTGGGAGCCGATATGAGGTTTTTTACCCTTTCTTCAGAGCAGCCTTGGCACTTGAATTCACGCCTTCGATGCAAACGCTACTGCTCCGAGTTCAGATTGCCATCTTGGTCCCTCCTTTAAGGTGACCTGTTGTGGTCTTGAGGTTTTAGCAGTTTCTCCTAAGCGATATTACCCAACGTGCCGTATTGGAAACTCTTTCAGGTTTGAGGAAATAGACCATTTATTTTAATTTTTGGCCCATGTACACCTACGAGAAGGTAACCAAGCTCAGACGTTGGTGTTGCCTAGACTTCGAGTAGTTAGCCATGTTATCTCGGAGTGGAGAAGGGGCTTAGTTAATGGAGGCGGCCCCAAATCGCCTTACGAATCACTTACTTGTCATGATGAGTTGTTACTGGTTCGATCCCTCTTCTCAGCCTTTGTAGAATCTTTTCATAGAGCCGTTGATGTAATGCTAATGGACTGCGAGTTAGAAGGCGGCAGAGGAGGCACGTTTCTTGAGTATCGAGTGACAAGTGATAGCATTCATCTGCGGTGCTACTCAAATCTCACGTAGCTCAGTATGGAAAGAGGCGCAAGGGGAAAGTGAGTAGTGGACACAGTAACAACCGGAGAAACTTCGTTCAAACTATTTCCAGAAGTTCTGCACCCTTTTTCTTTTTTACAATGAGATAGAGACCCTTCTTAGTTAGAGCAACAATAGCCCAGGACTGATGTATCGTTTGGTAAGAAAAGTTCCAAGAAATGCAACTAAGGAACAGTAGCAGACGGCCAGCCCAGTAGGGAGATAGATACTTCTTAATTGAGAACTGATATTAGTACTCAAAATCGTAATCGTACTACAACTTCAAAACTGAGGAGGATTTCATAGTTCAACATTCTCTCAACTGAACGAGAGACGCCATTAGCGAAATAGTGAAGTTGGAGCTTGGGAAAGTATATTTGTTGGTGCCGTCATGGGGGCTGAAATTCTTTTGTAAGTGCCATGTTTTGCCAAAACTTCATTATTTGGCTGTTTTTGAGTCACAGTTTCTCGCTAAGAGTTGTTGACGCGATTTGGTTCTCCAATGGATGTCCAAGCACCAGTGACTGGCGATAGATAGTCATCTTCAATTCATGAAGCAGAACCGTTCCAAGCTGTGCAGGTGAATGCACTCCACCCTACAAGCGAATGCGTGTTGATCACGACCAATACAGTGTGTTTCACAAGTATAAGATCACCCTCGACTTCGGTACGGGATAAGCAGCAAAGCGCATATCTTTCTGGCACCACCATTAAATTCATCACCTTTAATAACATCGATATACCTGCTTTGATTTGCTCAAGTTCTATGTTAACAGTTTTTTTTCATGTAGATTAATTTCGATTTTTTTTTTGCCGTTTTATAATTATAGGATTTCATAATTATAGGAACACCCTCGACAGTGCGAAGGTTTCGAAATCTACATAGCGCAGCAGAATTTGCACTCGGAGGTAACTGTGTAGGAAAGAATGTTTCTTAAACATGTTTGGAAGCAATATGCACTTTGCCTAGGGGAGATATTCTTTCCTTAGAAGAAAAAGCACAGAATCGGAGTATCCGTGATACATGATTCAGTACGAGTGCAATAATGAGGGGAATCGTGAGATCACTCAGCTCCGTTCTAAGATATGTATATTTGAAGACTACAGAATCTAGTCGTCGCAATTTTGGAGGAGGAAGTTTCATGGTACGGGGTGCTTCTGCAAAATGTCAAGCTGGAGCTTGCTCTCGTGACCTCCCTCTGAGGATTTTCAGGAAGTCTTACAATGGCACTTGGTGCCATTTCTGAGCAGGCGACGGGTCCTAACCACGTTTCTCAATACGACAGTGCTGCGATCCACGTTAGTCATTCCACGAGAGACTGGTTCCTTCCTCGAAATTTCGAAGTTCTGAAATGTTCAGCTTGCAGCTCCCATCTGAATAGAGGAGTTCGAGCAGGCAGTACTCGAAACTTGGGATAAAACCTGAAGCGAGGTCTTTCAAAACCTTGTTTCGAGTATGCCATATATTCGATATTGGGCTACAACAAGGAAGACCCATCGATTGCCAAATATTTTTTGTCGTTACTAAGGATGATTTTTTCAAATTCTCAAAAGGATCCTATACTTATGATACGGCACAAAATTCGAAAATTATTTATAAAAATGTTATGGTAGAAGTTGATGCAAAAATGTCCGTGCGTGGGGATTATTCGAGGTGGGGAATCTGACAGTAATGCTGAGAACTTATGTGCTTGTCAGCTTATCCTGTAAACGCCAAATTCGAGGGTGATTTTATACTTATGGAACGCACTGTGAGCGACCAGCCGAATGAACCACTGGGTTATAAATAGGCAGCACAACAGAGGTAATGAAACGATAGATTGGAGTAAATCACCACTAGCTTGAGTAAGACGGAACCGGTCGTTAGATCAGGTGACTTACAGTCAGAGAAGGTGATACAATAAAGGAAAGTCCACTGACAGATTGACTTCCGTCGGCCTCTTCATTCGTGGTCGCACCATACCAACGACTGGATCGGGAATTAAAATGTCTCGATGATGGTTATATCTTGTAACATCCATAGTTCGGACGTTGCTTTGTGGATAAAGCTCTATAAGACCTATATTCTCCCTGTAGTTGAGTATTGCAGCTCAGTGTGGAGCCCCTCTTTGGTCAAGGATGTCCAAAAAATTGAGAACGTTCAGAAAGTATTTACGAGAATTTTGTTTTACAGGGCTTTTCCCGACAATAATTATCCACAAGCACTGCCGCCATACCAATCTAGGCTTAAGAAGCTGAATCTTAAGAGCTTGTTCTATGGACGAGTGCAGTCTGATTTGATTTTGGCTTTTAAGATTTTCAAGTGTGAGCTACGCATAAAGCCATCCAGATATTGGACTTTTCGACCAACGCATGGACGTAGAGGACCGTTTCACACCTTCAATCATAGAATGGGCAAGTGGCATCGCACGTTGAGAGCGAACTGCTTCATCATTCGCACAACTAAATGGCTGGAGTCTCTCCCACCGCATTTTCTGGTATTGAACAGCTCAAAGCTATTCAAATCAGCGATTCAAAAAGTCAACCTCTTGGAATTACTT